TCCTTTAGCCCGCAAAGTACGCGGAAGACATCTAATTTAAACCAGGAAGAAATTGTTATCTGAAACATCGAGGTTGGTAACAAACTTTTTATTAGACGTAATATTAAGTCTTCGTTTAAAACTCACCGATCTTTCAAGATTCTTGTGAATTTGGATAACAAACTGATTCCTAAAATTGCTATCCCTTATTCAACCATTATTTCCTGTGAACAGCAAGACTTGGCACCACACATTTCCTCTTAAAATTTTTTTAATGTATGGTACCCACATACAATGCGCAGGGTTTACAAAAAGTTTTCCTTGAAAATTGTATCCAAATTAAGGTACCATGCACACCCCTTTTTCTGCTTCAAATTCTGGAAAAAAGTTGCACATGGTACAGTAATTGAGTAAATGCGGTACACCTAATTTTCATATTAATTTAGTTTATCTGATAAACTCCCCATAGCCCCTTTTAAATCTCCACCAACCTCATAAAGAAGTGCTGGAGGCTTATCAAGGTTTTACTGCACTCTTTATATGATTACTAGCTATGTTAGCCAGCATTCAAATAATATACAGGTGTTACCTTGCAATTCAACCTCAAGCAATTTGACCAGCCCCCCCCAATTCAAAAGTTGAATTTTCTGGGAGATTGACTCTCAATTCAACCTCTGCCACACAATGTGACCCATGAGGAGAGACATGAAACATCAAATGTCATGCAGAAAACATACCATTTGACATTGTCTTGCAATTTGACCATTTAACAATTCAACCCTAGTCCAGCAATGGATTAGAGTCAAATTGCAAGGAACCACCTGTGTGACGGAATAACTTGGTACCTTGATGTACCACTATGCGCAACATACAATAGATTTGTACATTTGAGAATATACCAGAATATTCAAATTGGACTGCTGTTAGATGGCAGCCATGTTAAACGCATACTTGCAGTTTTAGTCTGCGCCTTTCATGAGTTTCAACCAATCAGGTGCAGCAACACAGATTCTCAGGGAGAAGAATTCTCAGACTGTCTGTCTCCAACTTTTAAGCCATCAACATCTATTTATCTGTGATTCTCTGTGAAATTACCTGTGTTTTGTGAAACCCATTTTATCTTTTGGGGAAAAGAGATATACATTTATTGGTTTATATCTTTGGGATTTCCTGTTGAAATCCCCAGCTACTCCCCACAGCTGATTCTGTGTTTTATTTTTGAATTTATTTATACACAAATTTTGCCTGCTTTTGTGATTTCATAATTCACAACCTGTGTACCAGGCAAATAATGGTTCAAAAATCACAATTCTCGAGACAATGCGCGAAGCAATAAAATGGAATTAACACAAATGGAAACACGCACATAAAATTAGATTAGAGTACTTGCCAATTGTCGGTTTTATTCCCAGCGAGGCGAGTGCAGTGAATTCTCGACTGTTGACCAGCACCAACACCCACCACTTGACCCCGATAGGCGTACACAACAGAATTGGATTGCGTGTATTTGGCGGCGATCGTGGCGACTGTCATGTCTCTCAATGCGTCTTCGGAAATCTGTAAAACACAGGGGAAAAAATCCTCAAAATCTCAAGGCACTCAACAAGAAAATAACAAACACGAATAGACTCGACTCAGTATAACACAAAAATATAGGAAAAGGTTAATGAGATCAATATTTTGAAAGGAGGCAATACCTTAATTCCTGGATTACTTCCGGGATAAATTTAACGACATTTTAAAATAAAAATATTCAGCATTTTTCTCAATTTGTAAACAGGAAACAGTTCACTTCAACACATCAGCGACTAATAACTAAATAGATGTTCCATAAAAATATGTTTATTAACGAGTAATTCACGAAAATATGCCGCAAATCTTTTTTCTTAATGAAATTCCACCAAGAACGTTGTTTGGCCAGTGCGTAATACAGTGAGACCCCAAGATGTGGACGTAAATGGTGCATCAAGAGTGTCCCTAAGTCAAAATGCACCCAAGTCGAGTCTCATTTTCCCTTAGACTTACATTCTATAAGTTTTAATTGGTGTTTTATGTACATACTCACCATAATTCCATGAAAATAAAAATGGTCTCCCAATATAAACTGATTCCAATCAATATATTTCAACACAATATGGGCATTTGGGGAATTGAATACTGTACAGTACATAGAAATGTTGGCATTATCTGTAAAAATAATATTCAAATGAAAAAGAGAGAAGGAAGTCACTCTATGCTGGAGGTAATTTTTTTAAAATTAGCTAAATAGATTATAAATTGGTGAGAGAAATACCTAAGAACTTATTTTCTTACTTCAATTTTAGGGTTGGAAATATCTGTTTCTTGTAATTTGGCCGGAAATGTATTTGCAATTTATAACAAAATGTCCCTATGTTGAGTCAGTGTCCTCATGTATGGCCTCTTTTATTAATTTTTTATGATAAAATAAGTGTTCCCAAGTCGAATTGTCCGCAGGTCAAGGTGTCCGCATGTGGGGGTCTCACTGTATTTAATCTGTCTGCGAATATACTGTAGTTTGTTCAATGATTATTTTCCGCCTTCTGTCATTAAAATGAAATACTAGTTCGGTTTTTGATTTGATTTTTTCAACTATTTTTATAAATGCAAAAATTTCTTTAAAAAAAAACAATAGGTGCGTTTAGAGTTAATTATTATTTTTTTACTGATGCACAAAAAAACCGGGAATCCCGATAGGTTCTGGATAAGTCAAGTTTATCAGCTGCAAATATAATACCTCGGGAAAAAATTTACCATATCTGGAATGGAATAAATTGACTCTTAAAATGCTTTGCGTATTTTCCAGCTCACACAGCAGGTAAATATGATATTTTAAAATTCAAAAAATCTTCGGAACTTGTTTGAAAATTTCCCAACTCGAAACAACAACAAAATGTTGAAGACTCTTATATAAATACTAAGACGATGAGCTGCGAACACGTCTTACCGCGTTATTTTTAGTGATGACATTGGAGAAGAAGTCGGCATTGATGACAGCGTCGTTGCGCTTCTGTTCCAGCGTGACACCGAAGATGGTTCGTCTCTCCATCGGATTCGGAACATAGTCGGAATCAACCTTGAAACACATCATAAATCCCGCAAAATATATTATAACCCGATTTCGAATGATCTCAGTGACATGATTGTGAAATTCAGGTTTATATATAGTCAGGATTGAATTTTCACGACGGATATAGAATAATTGTCATCGAATATATCTTGGCTTTTTGTTTTTGTTTGTTCAGAAATTCAACCTCACGATCATGCATTCCTTTTTCTTTGGCGGGATTCCAATTCACAAAACGTTGAAAATTTGCAAGTAATGAGTGGGAAGGTTTTCTTTCTTCTTTCGTTTGAAAATTTTTCTCAAGTTTTCACACCGATATCTCCTCAAAAAAATCAGGAAATTTCCATTTGTAGAACGTGTAAGCCGAAATGAAATACCACGAAATGCTGTACTTCGCATTATTTGCCTTTTCATTCAGAATTTCAAAATCACACATGCGCACTTTTGGCGGGAATTTGAACTCACAGAATTTTGAAAAAAAAAATAGCGAGTAATGAGCTGAAAGGTACAGTACTGTATTTCTATGTTAATTTTCAAAGATTATTTTTCCAGTCTTTTCACTTATTGAGACCTGAATAACTCCATACACTAAAAAATCAGGAAGCTTAAGCTAAGTTTGTTGAATTCAAGTCCGGAAGAAATACCAGGAACTATTTTGCATTATGGAATCATGTGTCCCTCATGCTTGCATAAGCAGAATACCATGTGCATAATTTATTGTTTGAACAGTATGTAGATATTCTTAAGCAGGAATTTAAATTTTAAAAAGTGTTTGAATAAGAGGATAAATTTATTTTATTTTATTTGAGGTGGCCTTTGGGTTCTACAGATGAACCTTGATAAGTCAAACCCCCCTAATTCAAATACCTCCCTGCCTTTTTTTTTCAAGTCCCTGTCTGAATTCCCTTAGAAACAATGCATTGAAACCCCCCTTAACTCAAAGTCTTTTATTTCTCAAACCTCTATAAGTCAAATTTCCTGAGGCCTTCTAGTTATTATTTTCTTCAAATATGAAAGAGAAAATCAATGAAGAAAATGATCGTAAGCATCTTGAAATAAAGTGAAAGACTAGTTGAACTAATGAACCCCTGCCTTGAAGTTCTATGCAAGCTGTAAACTCATTAAGAAGCAAGTTTAGGCCCAGAATATCCTCATTTACAATTTCCCACAATATTTTTACTCTTCTTTGCAGCAAAAATGTTGGTTTCCTTAACTCCAAACCTCCAAAAATTGAAACCTCCCTCAGTCAAAATTTTTTTCTGGGTCCCTAGAAATCCAACTTAGAGAGGTTCAACTGTATATGAGAATGTTCCAATGCAACAAATAATAAGAGAGGAGGGGGGGGAAATCATTAATGAAAAATAACTGCTGAATTTTGTCAAAAGAGAAATAGAAGTTGAAAACAGCATCACCAAGAAAAAAAACCTTTCCAATAACATCATCTTGCACAAATTTGGTGAAGATTTTTTTCAATTCACAACAAGCCAGGAATTTCAAAGGAACATGATCATTTAAAAGCATACTGTAATACAATTTTGACTGAAAAAAAAACCTGGTGCGGGTCTTGCTAAGGGTGTGTGGTATCCAGGTTGGTACCTTGCAATTTGACCTCACACAATTCAACCATCCTGCAGTTCAATGGTCAAATTTGCAGGGAGGCTGACTAGCAATTTGACCCGCTTTGGCCACATTTTTTTTTTTGCATTTTAGTGCTGATATTTTTGAATTTTAGGAAGTGTCTTGCATTTTGACTGCTTTGCAATTCAACCTTAGTTTGGCAATGAATTAGAGTCAAATTGCATCCAGGTGGTAACTTGCAATTTGACCTCACACAATTCAACCTTCCTGCAGTTCAATGGTCAAATTTGGAGGGAGGTTGACTTGCAATTTTACCGGCTTTGGCCACATTTTTTTTAATTTTATTTGTGCTGATATTTTTGAATTTTAGGAAGTTTCTTGCATTTTGACTGCTTTGCAATTCAACCTTAGTTTGGCAATGAATTAGGGTCAAATTGCATCCAGGTGGTACCTTGCAATTTGACCTCACACAATTCAACCATCCTGCAGTTCAATGGTCAAATTTGCAGGTTTGACCTGCTTTGGCCACATTTTTTTGCATTCTTGTGCTGATATTTTTGAATTTTAGGAAGTGTCTTGGATTTTGACTGCTTTGCAATTCAACCTTAGTTTGGCAATGGATTAGGGTCAACTTGCAAGGTACCCCCTGTATTCAGGTATAAATACACAATGCCATATTCAGGTGAAAATTTCAAATCCAATAAATTTTCGCATTCATTCACCTGCAGGACGCAGTACTTCCCTCCTTTCTTCTTCTCGAGAATCGCCAGGGCCTGCGGGAAATACCCGGGGGCAACGATCCCGTCCGACACTTCCTTAGCGATGAACCTGGCCGTGATCTCGTCACAGGGATGCGACAGCGCGATAAAGTCACCAAACGAGGACATCCTATCAGCGCCTCGGGCACGGGCATACGCCACAGCCAGCGGGCTCAAGAGGGTGACGTCAGTGTCTGGCACGAGATAGGCCTGGCTTTCCGCGGGCGACAGTGGGGTGCCCACGGCGGCGCCGGCTGGTGACACGTGCTTGAAGGACGCGGCGGCCGGGGTGCCGCCGGTGGCGGCCGAGAGTTCAGAGACCAGTTGCCAGGCATTCAGGGCGTCGCAGAGGTTCACGAAACCCGGGGCCCCGTTCAGCACGGAGAAAGGTAGGCCCGGGGGGCAGAAGACAGACGCTGGCACTTGGTGAGGGTTCATCCCATACCGCAATGTCACCACGGATCTATATAAACACAAGTACAGTACAATGAGAACAATAAATGAAGAGGGTGGAGAAAGAAAGAGTTTGCAGTAAAATCTCATTACATCCAGCTTTTGGAGACTTTGGAAATGTTTTTTTTTTCTACAGTATAATTTTTCGTGGTGATATTTTCAAAATTAATGATTGGAAGACTTCTTCACATCAGACCTGATGCTTATATAATACTGTACAGTTGAACCTCTGTAAGTCAAATGTTTAGGAACCAGGAAAAAAATGTGACTTAGGGAGGTTTTGGTTTTTGGAGGTTTAGAGTTGAGGAAACAAACATTTCAGCTGCAAAGAAAATTTTAAAAATTTGATATATTGGTGATATTTTCAAAATTAATAATTGGAAGAAATGTTCACATCAGACCTGCTTATATAATACTGTACAATTGAACCTCTGTAAGTCAAATGTTTAGGGACCAGGAAAAACAATGTGACTTAGGGAGGTTTTGCTTTTTGGAGGTTTCCAGTTGAGGAAACAAACATTTCAGCTGCAAAGAAAATTTTAAAAATTTGATATATTGGTGATATTTTCAAAATTAATGATTGGAAGAAATTTTCACATCAGACCTACTTATATAATACTGTACAGTTGAACCTCTGTAAGTCAAATGTTTAGGGACCAGGAAAAAATATGTGACTTAGGGAGGTTTTGATTTTGGAGGTTTCCAGTTCAGGAAACAAACATTTCAGCTGCAAAGAAAAGTTAAAATATTGTGGGAAATTGTAAATGAGGATATTCTGGGCCTAAACTTGCTTCTTAATGAATTTACAGCTTGAAGAACTTCAAGACAGGGGTTCAATTGTTCAATTAATCTTTTAATTCATTTCAAGATGTACAAAACCATTTGTTTTATTGATTTTCTCTTCCATATTTCAAGGAAATGATAACCAGAATGCCTCAAGAAATTCAACTTATAAAGATTTTAGAGATAAAGACTTTGAGTTAGAATCAATGCATTAAAAACCTCTCTAAGGGAATTCAGACAGGGACTTGAAAAAAATAAATTGACTTACGGAGGTTTTACTTATTGAGGTGTAATCAATTATANTCAAGAAATTCAACTTATAAAGATTTTAGAGATAAAGACTTTGAGTTAGAATCAATGCATTAAAAACCTCTCTAAGGGAATTCAGACAGGGACTTGAAAAAAATAAATTGACTTACGGAGGTTTTACTTATTGAGGTGTAATCAATTATATCATGATTTTCTGATTCCCTCAGATTTTCTATTATCATTTCAAAAACTGAGTGATCTCCTGAAAAAAATTTGCTTCAATCATGCATTCCATCAGTTGCACCAATCTGTTCATTCTGGAAGGATGATTTGTGAAAACACTGGAAATCATGTTTTTCATTGATTAAAGCTTCTTTCAATGTTACCAGTACCAGTACCAGTCAGGCACATTATTTGGAATCAGAAATTCCAGACTGTGCCTTACTCAGTCAAGAAATTTATACCAATCAAATATATCTAACACACCTTTAAAAAAAAATTTGTCATACTGGAATTGGGAAGTTTGTTATAATCAGATTGTTTTAACATGTACTCTATAGGCTTCCAGCTAAGATTTGAGAAGAAGTTTGCAATACTGGAAAATTTCTTGCAAAGGTATTTGTTGTAACAAGATTTTGGTGTAGCAGTACTGTACTGTATTCTTTAAATAGAAAAATGTTGGGATAACAATTGCTGTTGTGTTAGAAATGATGAAAAATGGCCTAAATGTTGCAGCATGCATCAGAAAATACTTCAAAATTGGGCCTGAATATATCAGTATAAGAAACTACTGTTGAGTAAGAGTTCTAAAACAAATTTTTAAATGAGATGCACGGCTTTTGGAGCATTTAGGACTGCAATTTGGGGGACAGGTAAATACAGGTGGACTCACTCTACAACAAAATTCAAGCGATCAGAAAAGAAATATGTTTATACAGAACTTTGCTATGGAGAACCCCTATACCAAGGGTAGAGAACCCCATGGGGTCAAAGAAAATTCGTTGTGCAGAGAAAATCATTGTAGACAAGATTTTTGTAAACAGATTCCACCCATAAATGCTTCAAGAGGCTTCCACAACAGAATATTTGAAGAATTGTCACAATTTCCAACTCTTCTTTTTCATGAAATACTGTAATGGAGAAAAGGTCAAAATTTAAAATGAGTTCAATTACTTTTAATCTGCCCTGCTTTCAAATTACCCAAAACTGTTCCTGAAATATAAACTAAAATATATACACTGCAAAAATATATTCATAAGAAGAACACAGACTGCATTCATTTACAACTGCATGTTCCTTAAATGGAGAAACATTCCTAATATCAAACCTAATGATGACTTTTAAAAAAATTGAGCCAGTTATAAATCCTGAAACAAAGCAGTAGAAATTCTGATGAAAACATCATGCTTTATACTTTCTGAATTTTCTATACAAAAATATTAGCATAACCATTTCCATTCATGAATTTGTAATGCTTCACAAGTTGGAATTTCCCTTTTTTGGGGCAACTGATGGAAATTTCCATGGCACATGCAACTATAATCCAGGCAAACATTTGTTTTACCAGCATATTACAGGCAATAATTAGTTGGTTAAAATTTGTATAACTTAGTTATTCTGATAAAAGAAACTGCTGGAACCCAAAAAAGTTTTGCTTTAACACATCTTTTTGTAAAGGGATTCTACTGCATTAGCAGTAATCATAGGAAAACGCTTGATCAAAGTGATCCTGTTGTATCAGAAAAAATTCCTGCAACCTCAAAATAATTATCAGCGTAATTTTCGCCTGACTTGAACAAACAGGCAGACCAAAAAAAGGTCACTATATACTGCATCATCATTTAATTCATGAAAGAATAAATTAGGAAACTCAACACAGCGTTGCAATCACCTGCCATTGTCGAACTGCTGACGATAATACCCAGAAATTGCGTCATCATATGCCGCCGTATGACTGAATGCCTTCACCGCCAGTCGNGGTGTAGCAGTACTGTACTGTATTCTTTAAATAGAAAAATGTTGGGATAACAATTGCTGTTGTGTTAGAAATGATGAAAAATGGCCTAAATGTTGCAGCATGCATCAGAAAATACTTCAAAATTGGGCCTGAATATATCAGTATAAGAAACTACTGTTGAGTAAGAGTTCTAAAACAAATTTTTAAATGAGATGCACGGCTTTTGGAGCATTTAGGACTGCAATTTGGGGGACAGGTAAATACAGGTGGACTCACTCTACAACAAAATTCAAGCGATCAGAAAAGAAATATGTTTATACAGAACTTTGCTATGGAGAACCCCTATACCAAGGGTAGAGAACCCCATGGGGTCAAAGAAAATTCGTTGTGCAGAGAAAATCATTGTAGACAAGATTTTTGTAAACAGATTCCACCCATAAATGCTTCAAGAGGCTTCCACAACAGAATATTTGAAGAATTGTCACAATTTCCAACTCTTCTTTTTCATGAAATACTGTAATGGAGAAAAGGTCAAAATTTAAAATGAGTTCAATTACTTTTAATCTCCCCTGCTTTCAAATTACCCAAAACTGTTCCTGAAATATAAACTAAAATATATACACTGCCAAAGTATATTCATAAGAAGAACACAGACTGCATTCATTTACAACTGTATGTTCCTTAAATGAAGAAACATTCCTAATCTCAAACCTACCATTGAATTTAAGAAAATATGAGCCAGTTATAAATCCTGAAACAAAGCAATAGAAATTCTGATGAAAACATCATGCTTCATACTTTCTGCAGTTCTGCATTTTCTGCACAAAAATATTAGCATAACCATTTCCATTCGTGAATTTGTAATGCTTCACAAGTTGGAATTTCCCTTTTTTGGGGCAACTGATGGAAATTTCCATGGCACATGCAACTATAATCCAGGCAAACATTTGTTTTACCAGCATATTACAGGCATAAATTAGTTGGTTAAAATTTTTATAACTTAGTTATTCTGATAAAAGAAACTGCTGGAACCCAAAAAAGTTTTGCTTTAACACAACTTTTTGTAAAGGGGTTCAATAGCATCAGCAGTAATCATAGGAAAACGCTTGATCGAAGTGATCCTGTTGTATCAGAAAAAATTCATGCAACCTCAAAATAATTATCAGCGTAATTTTCGCCTGACTTGAACAAACAGGCAGACCAAAAAAAGGTCACTATACTGCATCATCATTTAATTCATGAAAGAATAAATTAGGAAACTCAACACAGCGTTGCAATCACCTGCCATTGTCGAACTGCTGACGATAATACCCAGAAATTGCGTCATCATATGCCGCCGTATGACTGAATGCCTTCACCGCCAGTCGCTGCCTCAGCTCAGCTCGCACCACCTCCGCCGCCGCCACCGGGGCGCCCTTTTCACCATCTCCCTCTCCAGCACCTGCCTCTGCATGAAGCAAGTACAGTATGTTTGTTATCTCCATAAAATGCATCGGAATTCAAAAATGTGTTTTAAATACATGAACATTTTGTCTATATTGTTGCAGAGAAAATGAGAGAGAGAAAACCAATGAAGGTTTCCTCCTGCATCAGCTGATGATGCAGCACATTGATTTCTTTGATTTTTTTTTCTATTATGGCCCATCAGAGGCCAGGGAACATACAAGTCCCAAATTACTGTAGAAAAAATGTACTGTATCACAAATATCCTCAACTAGAAGGCTTTCCTCCTCAAACCTCCATCACTCAAATTTTCTTGAGGCCTTTTGTTCATTATTTTATTGACAACAGAAAAAGAAAAACAATAAAAATTCATCTTGATGTGTTTTGAAAATGAATTAAATTATTAAATAGGCAAATGAACCCTTGCCTCCAAGTTCACCAACCTGTCAACTCATTTAAGAAGCCATTTAACGCCCAGAATATCATTAATTATAATTTCCTGCAATTATTATTTCTTCCCCTAACAAAATACTTGTCTGCCTAACTGAAAACCTTCCAAACTCTTTTCCCCAGTCTTTTTAAGTTTGAACTATACAGAGGCTTGCTTGTATCTTTTGCCATCCAGTGAGCAAGAAACACTGTATATATAGTCCAATTTTGTCCAAAATTACTCCAAATGTAGTCTGCATAGATTTCCAAACTTTCAAGACAACATTAGGATCAGCATTGGAATGGTTTTGGATATACAGTAAATTACTTTTTACAGGAAATGCTAACATCTCAATGTTCAATATTGTACAGAGGTACAGCAATTTTACCCTTGTATGTTCCTAAGAAACTGTTGAAAAAACATTATTCTCAATTTTTTGCTTGACAAAAAGCTAAGTTTTATAGGTTAATTTCAAGAAGGCTAGATAAAAAAGTGGAAAATTTCCTCTAAGAAGACAAAAAAATCTGGAAGAATCAGGAATGTGCCAACTGTGGAACTCAAAAAAGAAACCATGAAGATGCCACAGCTCAAGAAGAAATAAAGAGAAGAGGACAGTTGCTGAATTGATGGATCTTAACATTCAGCAGTAGCACAGAAATTGTGCATTTTGTGAATGTTTTAGGTTCCCAATGCTCCAAATTTCATACATGAGTTGAAAAACACTGATTTAATATTTTTTTCATCAGTAGAATTTTTTTTCCTCAATTTTAAAAAGGAATTTTGATCAATATTTCTTTCAGAAAACACCAATTAAAAATTATATAATGCAAGTCTATGGGAATACAAGACTCGACTTAGGGACATTTTGACTTAGGGACACTCTTGATACACCAATTACATCCGCATCTCAGGGTCTCACTACTGTACTGTACCGTTGAATGTTACGTAAATACCAAATCAAGTAAAAGTTCTGCTCACTGATTCTAGGGTATTGGTT